TTTTTTTTTTTTTTTTTTTTTTTTAATATTTTGAATATAGTTTATTTATATTTTAGTCTGTTATTTAATACTTTTGAAATATTCGAAGTTGCTACAAGCGTGAGGATAGACCTCAAAATAAACGGAACGGACATGGATTTTCATCCGGCCAAGCGTTGTTAACTCGAAGTGAATGCAGGAATGTTTTCTGCCGCTACAACAACAACCCCAAAAAAAAAGGATTTAGATTTTTTTTTAGAGAATTCCGAAAAATTTTACATAAATTGTAACAAAATAATGAAATATCTGAAAGCAAATTTGACGCGCGACAACTTTTTTATGTCGTTTTTTTTTTAATAAAAAGCCCTTTAATCAAATATTTTAATTTTTAAAGTTTTCTGAAGTAAAATTTTGCCGACAGCCAAAAAGTATGCAATGTCTATAGCTGCTGCACAATGCGTTCTTTTATTAAAAATAAATAATAATAATTGAATAAGGTTAATATTTATGCGAATAAAAAATATATTTTAGTATATTATAGGCTCAATGCCTATGCCAAAGCGCTTCTAACGTCTAAAATATACCTACACATACTTTTATGAAGCATACTTTCGGCAGCGTTTAGCGTGTTGTATTTGTAACTGCAACCTTGCTGTTTTTGCATAAGCTTCCACGGTTGTTCAGGAAACCGGCCTAAACACTTCACACTTTTCAATGAGGCAAGCCTCTATGCAAAAATTAATGCTAAAACTTTACTAACCTCAAACTGTCGAACCTTTTTTTACTATTTAACTGTGTTTCAATTCTAAAGCAAGAAATGTTGTCACTACTAGTAGTGACTGCTGTCTTCAAAACACCTGCTTCCCTAAAAAAAATAAAATAAATAAATAAAGTTCCCTTGCGCCTAAAACACACCCACCACACACTGTTTGCTCTGCGCGCGCTGCTTACGTAAGGGTGCTTTTGTCAACTTATGATTTTTACATGCTGTTTTTTACATATTCATTGCAATTATTGTTGTTGCATCAACAAAATTAATATTAAAAAATTTTCACATTGCGAAAATTTGATTTCCATGTTTTAACTGTTGTTTTTGTTTTGCTCAAGAAATGGCCTTAACAAAAAACTTTGCTTTGTTCAACTTTTTCTTACGTATTTTTGTCGTAAAAGTTAGCTATCATATAATCTCTCACTCTTTATATATTTGTGTTGTTTTTTGTTGTTTCTGTTATACCTATAAATATTTTAGCTATTGCCTGTGAAAGGGAATTTCATTCATCATCATTTTAGTGCTCAACACATTTGTCACTCACACTGTACAAAGTATTTTGAGAATTTGTTTACTGTTACGTAACTATAAATTAAATTTAATTTAAGAAATTATTGTTATGCTCTAAGTTACTTTTGTTGAGTGACTGTAGTTGTGTTGTTGTTATTTTTTTCTTTTTCAACGCTGCTTGTTCTCGGCAGAGAGGTTTTACCGCATCTGTTGTTGTAAAGCATATCGCGTGTACACGATCAGCTCATTTATGGCAATTAGGAGTATATTTAACGTTTTTCGGTTGTGTGCGACCTTTCCAAAATCCTTTGCCGTTTGAACGATTTGCTTTCGTGTTGCCGAAATCACCTCTGGCTCGCATACACTCACTGTCTCTCTCTCTCTCTCGCTCTGTATCTCATTTTTACTGGCCCTCAAACGTATATCAACTCTGGGCTTTTGCATAGTACACTCTACATTTCCGGTGTTTTTCTCGTTTCTGTTTCTGTTTTTGTTTTTTTTTTTTTCATTTCGCAGTGTGTGCACACCGTTGTTGTTGTACCGCTTCTTCTTTACATTTCTTTTAATGTTCACTAATTATTCAAGCTAAAATTGAAAATTTCAAAAAAAAAAAATACATGTATATTCGATTGTTTGATTTTTATAGTAGTTGTCTGACGGTATAACGGTAATTGTTTTTTGTATAAAATTATGTAATTCTCACGCGCATTTTTCTCGCACAAAAGCTGGCAACTGCCAAAAAATTAATTTCGTGTCCTTTTCGTTTTTAAAAATATGCAAAACCATTACTTAAACAAAAACTTCTGTTTACAGTTATCAAGTTGAAATTGTGGTTAAATTTTTTTGTTGTGGTTGTTGTAATTTTCATTATTTACTGGTTTTGTAGCAGAAAAATCAAAATGAATATCAATTAATCAATCAATTAATTAAGTATTTCGTATGCATATTTTCGTTTTAATTTGAGATTTGAGCAAAAAACGTGCAAACAATGTGTAAAGGGGAAAGCCGACAGCCGACAGCCGAAAAATTAGTTACATTCGATTTTAAAAATATATACATATGTATTTTTTTTACAATTTCTCTTTCCATTTCTTATACATTATACTGCTTTAGCACAATTCCTCACTTTTGTGATCCGTGTAAACGTTATTGTTGTAGCCACTACTGTTGTTAATGTTGTTTGTTGTAAGGGAACAGTAGACTCCTAGCGGTGTGTTACAAGTGTCAGGCGGCTTCAGTATAATCGAAATATTATTTAGATTATATAACTTAGTTTCAAATTAGTCTATGACCGGCCTAAACGTCCAAGTGCGCTTTCAGAATTTTTAGCTTTCATATATGCTAGCCATTTTCCGCAGTTACTTTCACAAGTAATCTCATGATTGTAGACATGAGAAGCTCACGTCAACAAAGTTCGTTCTCCCTCACGCTTTCGCAGGCACGTCCTACACTCCCAAAACATAACAGTCGGCACATAATTTCGAGGAAATAGGTTCCGTAAATTTGTTTTTTTTTTTTTTTTTGTTGGTAAAGTTGTAAAAAAAAATGTGATTAAAATTGTAAAATCAAGTAATGTACAATTCGCAATTAAATTTAAAAAAAAAAAACAAATATATATTTTTTATAAACTCATTTTATAGAGTTGCAATGAACTTTTTTTTAATAGAAACGACTTCGCATTTATTTATGTCTTTAAGAAAATTTTTTGTGATGAAAAATTTGTTTAGATGAAATATTTTGTTAATTTTTTTCAAGCTTTTCTGCCTAAATAATAAAATATTTTGATAATTTTTTCAAAATTCGAATCTAAAAATCACGTGCTAAGTGGGAATTTACACGGCTGTGGCAACCAAAATAAATTTTTTCCACATTTCCGTATGTACATGTTTAATGGCATTAAATATCTTCAAATTGGCAACTGCAGAGACAATAAAGACCGTAAAAAATGTGTATTTATGCGGTTTTGCGAATCAAATAAACAAAAATAAGTTTTTCTCATAAAAAAAAAATTAAAGAATTTGCGAATTGAAAATATTTGATATTTATAATACAATAATATAAT